AATTTTTATTTTTCTGTTTTCCTGACAGGCCCTGTGAATAAACAACAGCAGCCCCTAGAGTGATGAAGGAAGAGATGTCCCTTGACATGTGGAAGTGGAAAAAAGGAATCTGATTTCATAACTTTAAATCAGTATGTACCTTTGGATTTATCAACTATATTATACAGTAGAAGGCATTTTCAAGTATGTCATGATTTATTTATTTTTTCTCTGAGACAACATAATTGTTCACCATCCCCAAACTGAACGGTATGCTCCACCCAGAAGGTGTATGAGGAAATAAGGAGAAATAGCCTTTAATATGACCAATTAAATCAAAATGACCCCAAAACATCCAAAACTTAACAGTTCAGCACATTATTAAAAGAACAATGGGTTTTTGTTATGGGTACATTTTTTATGACAACTATAGTCTGTCTAGTAATTCTGGTCAAACGTGACAGAAAACAGTGAAAGGGACAATATTCATTCATTCAGTATTCGTTTCATCGTTCCATCCATGCATCTATATGTGGGTCATTCCTGGGATTCGGTAACATTTCAACTTGGAATATACATTTTTTTCAACTACATATGATTCATTTTTTAAATCCTCCACATCATTAGACACATATCAAAACTTTTTTTTTTTTCCAGATTTTAGACACCTTTTGTTTTTTCTCAATCCCGTAATGGACAAAATGGGATTGGTTTAAAAATGATTTTACACAGAACTTGCTATAAAACAAACATCTACCTACTGCTCATGTGTCGCTCATAGCAATTTAATGATGAACAAATGTAACATTTATCATACTTTTCACATTTTTATAGGACTGAAGCTAAAAATACACAAATTGTGTCTATGGTCTTTTTACTTTTGTAAAAAATATTTTTAATTTAGAAGTTTAGTCCTTAACATGTTAGATGGCAATCAGCAAGAAATGCTTCATTCTTAATTGTCTTCCATATATTTTCCCATATATATTAATATGACAAGGTGTGTCGGGATTGAAGTCTGTATCACATTTGAAGTGAACACATTGCCTTTAATTTTGGTTTTGTTTGTCTCTCATATTGTCCCAATCTTTCTGGGTAAATATCTGCATTGCCAACACTGTCTTTCTGCTGCAAATGTGGGTGCAATTTCTGATGTGTGATGCTTGTTATGTTTAAATGGACATATTACCTCAAAAATTCAATTTATAACAAAAATATGAGTTGTCATGATGTTGGTAAGTATATATTTACTGAAACCATGACTATTTTATTTTATTTTATTTTTTCATTAAAATTATTAATAAATGAAGTAAATAACTCAACCCTGTCACAAGTTTACAACCCCGTAACAATGAGAAATACATATATTTGTGACGGGGTTGTGGTTTTTCTCTTAAAATGGCCACTGCTCCTCGTGTAGTTCGGAGAGTAGACCATATATGGAAGCAATACAATAAATACATTGTATATACTTATGGATTAAAACAAAATGTTGAAAAATAATAATTTTCCATTTAAATTTTTTGTGACGGGGCTGAGTTGTTAAGCTTGATAGTACCCTCCCTGACTATAATATACCTCAAAAATATGAATAATACGTATGATACTACTAACCATTTTCTGCACCACTATTAAAGAGACCTGAATGATGTAATTTCTGGTAAATGATGTTACATGTGAGTGGAGTCTAAATTATTATGGGCGTAGAATGCGCACATTAGTGTGACGGTGTTGAGTTCACACTGAGGGACATAACTTTAAAGTCTGTTTTTTTTATATAATTCAGTATAATGGGTCTACTAAAATATTGTGAAAAGCTTCTAACAATTCTTTTTTTTGTTGTTGAACCACTACTTTAAAAACTCTGAATCCCAGGAATGACCCATGTATCATTATACACATTGTTCTATCCATCCATCCATCCATCCATCCAATTCAAAATCAATCCATGTGGAAAGGTTTTAGTGGTTCTTGCAGTTACTAGCACTTAAAAATGTCCTTGTGTGAAATCATTTTAGTTCTTTTTTTCCCCTGACAATTATCTTGGCAACTCAAACTACAAGGTAATTTGCAAGGGAATAAATGTCAGGCTCAGTACACTCTTAAAAATAAAGGTGCTTCAAAAGGTTTTTTGGTTCCGCAAAGAACCATTTAGTCAAAGGTTCTTTAAAGAACCATCTCTTTCTTACCTTTTTATAATCTGAAGAACCTTCTTTCGCCACAAAGAACCTTTTGTGAAACAGAAAGGTTCTTCAGATGTTAAAGGTTCTTTATGGAACCATTTAGACAAAAAGGTTCTTCTATGGCATCGTGAAGCACCTTTATTTTTAAGAATGTATGGTCAGGCTTGAAATGTCACTTGTTACAATCTAACCAATTAGATTGTAATAAGTTCTCCCATTCCATTGTGTTTATCACACAGCATAATAATTTAGTTCAATCAGTGAAATCAATGTAATATAGGGCGGTGTGGCAAGTTGATGAAGATGTTGGGTGGAAACCAAAATAGCACAAGTGCAAAACTCTCAAGAAGTGCTCAACGAGCTTTCATCACTTTTGAAAACAGGGTTGCTCTGAAATGACTGTCTACTGTAAAGCATTTTATAATCTCCTAAATTACTCTATTATGTATTACAGACAATTATTATAATGCTCGGCAAGTCTTACCCATAATTAATCTGACATGCTGCAGACCAAGTCCATCAATACAGAAAAAAAATCCAAGACAGCAGGAACCACATAAGACAGTGTTGATGTTCACTGCATTTGCCTTGGAAAAGAAAAATATGTATTTGGAAAGATTTGGGGTTTTTCAAATACATTTAGCTACATCACAGAAACTAGTAATCTTTTCATGTTGTGATCTGGTGTCATAACTGCAACACTTCTCAGAGACTCAAATCTCTTAATTATTGGGTGGAATTAAGTTTCCATCTTTTACTTTCAGGCTTCATTAGTGCAGAGTACATAATTACTTCTGGCTTTTTTTAAATGTTTTTTTTTAACCTCCTCTCTTGCAGTCAGTTCTACTAGTGTATTAGGAAGGATTGTGTTGCTCTGGATGCTTCTCTGTGGTCAACTTTACATTGACCAAATGTTAGGCAAGCATGATGTGATATTTCTGTCAGGACCACTATTGTCAAAGATGATTGACAATTAGCATACGGTTTGGATTGGCGGTATGGTTCTGTTCTGGTTCATCCAGCCTAGCATGGATGAGAGCAGGGAGAGCAGCGATAACCCCCCCAGGGTAAACAGAACCAACATAAATGTATTGCAGATATCGTTAAAGTTCAATAATGTTATGTACACATTTTAGAATTAGTCTGATTTAAAGGAGAATCAGAAGGCTGAATCCTGACTGACAGAGGAGGAGCTGGGGATGGCGGAGGGTAATTAGCTATTGAGCAATGCGAAAACTGCTGATAATACTGAGGGACCTTATATATGAATGCTTAGATAGGTGTCGTATTCCCATAGGTTGATGGGGATCAGCTGAGAGTCAGCTGATGCGAGCTTGACTAACGTGACTGCCAGAACTAACGCTACGCTAGATGTTTATCGTGTCAAATTGGTGTTCTTTTAAATTTACTACAACAGTTTATATTAATATTTATTGGCAGACAGTCCTTTCAAGAAAACAATTTCTTTCAGAGTTTTCCCTCTGTGGGTATGCACGTACGGACATAAAAGCATTCATTATATTATTTTCAAGTTCATTATTTTTCACATCCTTTACAAATGTTATTCTGAAGCATAATGAAGTAATTTCAGATCTAGATTGTTCTTGTTCATTTATATATTTAATGCATGCATTCATTTTCACATTGTGTCCTGCATCATATCTTAAAATGTAATGTATTTAGTATGAGGAAAAGAGTTTTCTGTGTTTATCTCAAGGATACACATTCATAGCTTTATGTGTTACTTAATGTGTTTATCAATTATTATACTGTTTATCGAGTCTGATCTCTACTCTGTAACAGGAGTCACTTGATTTGTCCTTTAAATGTGATATATTTAGTAGGAAATACGTGCAAGTAGGTCACTTAATCTTAATCATCTATATCATTATGTGTACATTCTTTCATTACTAATAATCAGCATTAAGTTTATCTAAAAAAACTATTATGAGATTACATTGATGTAGCCATCTGGATCATATTACACAAAACAATGCCAGTGACAAAATAAGTGTCATGCTTTGCCTTTATTCTCTTTGTGTGTGATAAAACTGCATAATTGCCTGCTTTTACATTTCTAATTGACAGCTGAGCAGCAGAGCAATTATACAACAATGTTCCTGTATTCTACACTATTAATTTGACTCATTATTTTTTGTAAAAGGGAAAACTTGTGTGACTCACCAAGAAGAAAAGATTTTCACACACTATGTGCAGTTCGGGTGGAGAGGAGGTCATTATATACCGATGTGGTTCATTTGGAGCAGCAGCCGTTTGTCCCAGCAAGACCTGCTTTCACATGCTTTATTAATTCAAGCTCCCTGAGAACAATTACTCTGATCACTCTTTAAATAAACTGATAAAAGTCAATTTCAGGGACAAGGACTACTAACATGTAAGTATTAAAACATGAATTATTTTAAGATTGTGGCCTGGTTTTATTTAAATAAAATACAACTTTTAATATATACAGTACCAGTCAAAAGTTATATTTTAAATATATTTTTAAAATGATCATGTACATTAAATTTCAGAAGCCATTTATTTTGAATGACAGGTTTTATTTTATTTGTCCATTCTCTTTCTCATGTCTATTTTTTAAAGCTTTTAAAATGTCTTGTGAAAATATTTGCACTGGAATCAAACTGGTATCGGAAGAGCAGGACAGGGCATGCGGGCGGTCTGTTTGCAATATCAGCCCGTGTGGTGATTTCAAAGGCATACAAGCTTGTGGAAGTGATGGTAAGAGCTGTAAATCTTCTCATTGCACTGCATGGTGGGAATAAAACGTCTAATATCAAGGTCTGATCTTTGATTGTTTTCTGCTCCTGCTTGTCCTCAGATGCAGTTCTGCAGGTGTGCACTGTTGACCTCCTTAAAGACAGAAAAGGGCAAAATCGACTGGAACATCACACAGGTTGTTATCAGAGTGATCACCTTATCGTCCGCAGAGGGCAGTGTTTTCAGATGTGGGTTGAGCTGAGCCGAGCTTTCATTCCAAATAGAGACAAATTTCACCTGGAGCTGAAACTTGGTCAGTTATAGCCTTTTTGTAACAACCACGTGACAAACAATTTATTATTTCAGCCTCACTAGAACACTTGTTCTTCTGTGCATGTTACAGGTCATATCTCATCCATCCGGGACGGCACTTATGTAATCGTTCCAATTGTGGAAGAATTCAAGAAAGACTGCTGGGGAGCAAAGATTGTAGAACAAGGACAAAACCGAATCAAACTGTGTGTGCACTCTGTTCCGACTGCTTGCGTTGGACGATACCAGCTCAGTGTCGTGACACACTGTCCAGGAGGCAGATTCACTTTACCTTGTGTTCCTCAAAATGACATTTACATGCTGTTCAACCCCTGGTGTAAAGGTATGCGTTTCATTACACATCTGAAACACAAACACACACATGCAAAAAATATACTTAATTCAACTATCTCTGTTTCTTTATCAGATGACTGTGTGTACCTGGAAGATGACTCAGAGAGAGCTGAGTATGTGCTGAATGACATGGGCAGAATCTACTATGGAACTAAGCAGCAGATTGGCTGCAGAACATGGAACTTTGGTCAAGTAAGAGCCAAACTTTTCACTCAAAGTTTGCAGAACACAGTAGCTAATAGAAACTCAAATCTGAGAATCTGTAATGTGTAGAAAGCTATTACCAGAAAGGTAATTGGCTATAATGTTTCTATATTTTCTTCCTCTCTGCTCTCTGTTTCTTAGTTCGAGGAGGGAATCTTGTCTGCGTGTATTTATGTGTTGGAGAAGAGCTGTACACCTTGCTCAGGATGGGGAAACCCCATTAACATTTCCAGAGTGGTGTCTGACATGGTGAGTCTTCATTTTCTTCTTAACTGCACCCTGATTTGAAGCTGAAAAGCCTGACACAATGGCCTGATTTGCTTTGTTTTGAGTGCAGTACATCTGCATGAAGCTTTTCAATCATCTATTCTTTATCAGGTTATTGCCAACAAAGACTGTGGTGTGCTGGTGGGTAACTGGTCAAACTGCTATGGAGATGGAACCGCTCCGACATCCTGGTGCAGCAGCAGTGCCATCCTGAAACAGTACCACAAATGTGGAGGAATACCGGTCAAATATGGACAGAGCTCGGCCTTTGCTGGAGTCACCAACACACGTAAGAGGTCCTGCAGGCTGGACAAGGAGAAAAAGTTTTGAGAAAGTGATTATAGATGTCATGCACTTATTTCTCCTCTCTTTCTCGTAGTGTTGAGGTGTTTGGGAATTCCTGCTCGTCCAGTCTCAAACTTCTGTTCTGCTCATGACACTGACGTTTGTTTGACATCTGACGTCTATTTGGATGAGAAATTCCAGCTGATTGATCACATGAACTGTAATTCAATCTGGTAAGTATTATTCTTACAAACAAAGTTTTTACACTGTTGCATGTGTAGACTATATTGATATATAGTCTCTGAAGTTGTTAAATTTTGTTATCACTCTTTTCTATTCCTTTCACAGTTTGTTTTCTCTTTCTATGATTCTTCTCCTCTTCCATGTAGGAACTACCACGTGTGGAATGAGGCCTGGATGACTCGGTCAGACCTGCCATCTGGTTTCGGAGGTTGGCAGGTGGTTGATTCCACTCCTCAATTGACCAGCCAGGGCTTCTTCCACTGCGGCCCCACCTCTGTTGCTGCGATCCGTAGTGGACAGACCTTCCTGAAGCACGATGTGCCATTTGTTTTTGCTGAAGTGCGTCAGTTCCTTAATATTCCGTTTTGACGTTTCTGTCCCATGTAAACACAAGTGCTAGCGTAGTACTGTTGATTGTGTTTTAGGTGAACAATGATAGAGTCTACTGGCAGCAGAGATGTAATGGGACATTTGGTGTTGTCCATGTTGAAAAAAATGCAGTTGGTCACTGCATCAGCACCAAAGCTGTCGGATCAGACAAACGCTTTGATATCACACACCTCTACAAACATCCACGAGGTGAAATCTCACACATCTCAGTAAGTTAACAGTCACAATTAGGAAATGTCTTGATGTTAAATGTTGACTTTATTAACATTAATAAGGTACGGAGGAAGAGCGCATTGCTTTAGAAACAGCAATTCGTCATGGCTCCAAGCGGTGTACCTACCCATTGCCCTGTGCTGAGGATGTGACTGTTAAAGTCACCATGCAGGGTGATGGACCATGCGTGGGCAAGGATGCTGTGCTTTCCATCGTTTTGAAGAATAAATGCAACTCACCTCGTACCGTCACTCTGTACAGTCAAGTGGCAGCCACATACTACACCGGAGTCCATAATTCCTTAGTGAGGAAGAGCCAAATGAACATTGAGATGAAGGCCTGTGAGGGTAAGCGATGATAATCAACCCTGTACTGTAAGAGAAAGATTGCAACTGTTTTAAAAGTATACTTGAAATAATTCATTGTTTAACTCTTTGTTCTGTAGTCCAGACTGTACCTTGGACCCTGCGATATGACGAGTATAATAACCACCTAGGAGACCAGGCAGCCTTGATGCTCCATCTCTTTGGACACGTGGCTCAGACCAAGCAGATTCTTGCAACCCAGTTCCACTTCAGACTGCGCACACCAGACCTTGTTATTTCTGTGAGTTTAGCAGGTTCTGTCTTTTTAAATCTTCATGGGTTGCTAATGGCCTAAAGGGTAACAATTACATTTTTGGTGGAAACTGGCCACTGATCATGAATTTTGCCTAAATGTGTCAAATGTTATGGTATATAAAATTGTGACATTTTTTACCTTTCAGCCTGTATGTGATGCTGTTGTGGGTCAAGAAGTGCCAGTAAAAATCACATTCCAGAATCCACTTTCTTGCAGTCTAAGGAATGTGATATTCCGTATTGAGGGTCTGGGACTGAAGCATGCCAGACTTGTTAAATATGGGTAAGATTGATTCAACCCTGACCTCACAGGAAAACGTACCTATTTATATTACTACATGTAATATTTCTCTCTCTTTCTCAGTGATATTGCAAGCCTGGCCACAGTGAACCTGACAGAGACATTTGTTCCAGTGAGGCATGGCACACATAAAATTCTGGCATCACTTGACTGTTCCCAACTTAATCAAGTCCATGGAGTTGCCAACATTACTGTTAAAAAGTGAAAAAGTATTTAATTACCTGAAGAGAAGAAATGGCTGTTGCTTTGAACTGTAAACTTGTTCATAAGGATCTCAGATACACTGTTTTTTTAATGTTGTTGTGAAAGAAAAACTTTCATTAAAAACTCAAATATTTGTGGTTGTTTTATGGTGGATATTCTTCATTTAGGTGTATTGTTAATTGCTGCCTCAGCATTAAAAATATTAATAATTTAATAACTTTGATATGTGGTTATAAGAGTGGGCGAACTGAGAAATATTCATTATGAAAGTTGTGCCTACTATATGTCGCAATACATTCAAATGATAATAAATGTATAAATAAAAACACCCATCTCTGTGTCAATATTTATAGTAGGTGTATACAGGCAGAGGGGTGGCCTATGGTGTGTGCAATTTGTATATAAACGTGCTGCTGCCAGGAAAGAAAGAATGAAAAAGAAAGAAAGAAAGACAGACAACTAGACACATTCTGTGGACATTTATTTTTAAATTAAAATTTTACTCAAATTGTGCTGATCATATAATTTGCAAAATATTTGTATTGTTTAAACTTATAAGTATTAAATGCAATTATTTTCACTAACTCCACTTTGAGTATTAAAATGAATTGAAATAATAAAATAAAAAGTATGTTTTATTTATACATATCCAGGATACACACCTATAACGTAACTTACAGTCCATTCTCTACTGATCAAAAGTCTAGACTTTTACTTTGATGGATGCACACACATACACACACAAAATATTTCATGCAGTTAAAGGCAAGGAAAAATATTTTGTGCAAGACTGAAGTTTTATGTTTATGTATCCATCACAAGCTACTGTCTGCTAGAAAAAATGTGTGGTGAGCTATAACAAATAAAGTTTTGTACTGGTTTGGATAAAACACACCCCTCAGCTTACATTGCAGATCTGTATGATGAGAGTATAAATTCACAGAATTAAATCCATTCAGTCAGTCAGTCAGTCAGTCATATTTATTTAAAAAGCACATTTAAAAACAACAGCTGTTGGCCAAAGTGCTGTACAAAGTTTAAGCAAGTACCCTAAATAAGCAGTAAACATAGAAAACACCAACAGACAATACACAACAATTATACCCCTGCACCTACTTATGACCATATGCAACAGTAAATAAATGAGTTTTAAGAAGAGATTTAAAATCAATGTATGTTGGTGCAGTTTTTATGTAGAATGGCAAATTGTTCTAAAGCTGTGGCGCAGCCACTGAAAAGGCATGGTCTCCTTTCAATTTTAAGCGTGTTCTTGGAACAGTCAACTGTAAACTACTGGTTGATCGGAGTTCTCTGGATGCATTATGGTGAAACCATGAACAACATCATTATTTTTTTTACACAGGAACCAGCAATTCTTTATCAAAAACAAACCTATCTGTAAACCCCTGGGCAAATGTTTACGTGAACCCATATGTAAACCCATGCGTTAACCCTTGCACTACTCCACGTGTTACTCCTTGCGCTATTCCGTATGCTACAACATACACTCTAAAAAAATGCTGGGTTAAATATAACCCAGCGCTGGGTTAAAAAGGGACAAACCCAGCTATTGGGTTGTTTTGACTCAGCGGTTGGCTTCAAAACATCCCAACCGCTGGGTCAAAAGAACCCAATAGCTGGGTTTGTCCCTTTTTAACCCAGCGCTGGGTTATATTTAACCCAGCATTTTTTAGTGTGTGCTACTCCATTTGTTACTCCTTGCACTACTCCATGTGCTGCTCCATACACTAATCCTTACGGCTTTGTCACTCCACGTCGTGATTATGAGACTGAAGAAGTCGTCATCAAGGAATGCATGGATGATTGCACAAGCAAACAAGTTTGTGAAGGCAAAGAGTCATAGATCTTTGTCCTGCAATGCATGATGGGAATGATCCTTACTCATAATAACTTAGTGAATGATCGGTTAATTACATGTTGGTGGATAACTGGTCAAACTGCTATGGAGATGGAACCGCTCCGACATCCTGGTGCAGCAGCAGTGCCATCCTGAAACAGTACCACAAATGTGGAGGAATACCGGTCAAATATGGACAGAGCTCGGCCTTTGCTCGAGTCACCAACACACGTAAGAGTTCCTGCAGACTGGACAAGGAGAAAAAGTTTTGAGAAAGTGATTGTAGATGTACTGCACTTATATTCTTCTTCTCTTTCTTGTAGTGTTGAGGTTGTTTGGGAATTCCTGCTCGTCCGGTCTCAAACTGTTCTGCTCATGACACTGACGTTTGTTTGTTTGACTGACGTCTATTTGGATGAGAAATTCCAGCTGATCGATCACATGAACCGTGATTCAATCTGGTAAGTGTCATTACCATTTGTAACCAAGAGTTCCTCTGAATGTTCATGAACTGTTTCCATTTCTTTCATCTTCTCTTCCATGTAGGAACTACCACGTGTGGAATGAGGCCTGGATGACCCGGTCAGACCTGCCATCTGGTTTCGGAGGTTGGCAGGTGGTTGATTCCACTCCTCAACTGACCAGCCAGGGCTTCTTCCGCTGCGGCCCCACCTCTGTTGCTGCGATTCGCAGTGGACAGACCTTCCTGAAGCATGATGTGCCCTTCCTTTTCGCTGAAGTGCGTTAATTCCTTTAATTTACCATTGTGTCATACATCAGTTATAATGACATATGACTTATGATTCTCGTTTGTCTCTGTGTTCTAGGTGAATAATGATAAAGTTTACTGGCAGAGGAAATGTGATGGAACATTTGGTGTTGTCCACGTTGAGAAGGATGTATTAGGTCACTGCATCAGCACCATGGCTGTCGGCTCAGATCAACATACAGACATCACAAACCTCCACAAACACCGACTCGGTAAAAACCACACCACACACAGAAAATTCTGTTGACTACCTGTAACAGTTCAACTTTCCAATGTACATTTCACATGAATGATTTGCAAACAGCTTGACTGCGGTCTTGGAAACCTGTTCTCCAAATATTAGCATTTTTTCATTCTCTTGATTTGTAATTTTTCTTTATTAAGTAATATAGTGAGATATGGAATTGGTAATTCATTCTTCTGCAGATTATGATCATGCCTGATTGTGAATGAAATGAATGAAATATGAGAGAGAGCTGAAGTGTCCATGTCTAAGTTATATTAATTATATCTTAGAGCCATTTTTGGTTTTATGTTTGCAGATTTTACATTCTGTAATTATCATTCAAGCATTTTATATGACCTGGGGTCTACTTTTGGTTGTTTTCTAATGGTAATGATAATGAAAACCTTTGAAACTAATCATGTTCTCTTTATTGTTAATCTTGTCTCAATGCAGCCTCAGCATTAATAATAATAACAATAATAAAAAATTTACCATATTGAATCATGTCTGTTTAACTTATGAAATTCTGATTTATTCTAAATATATAGGTCATAAAGGTTATGTGTCAATTTGCTTTTAGAATATTAGAACATAACCTATATAGTTAAGAACGACAGAACAGTATAAGACAGAATATATATATATATATATATATATATTTCCAAATATATTTTTACAAATATTTGTGAATATACAAAAAAGGGCAAATATCTATTAAAATATTTTTCAAAGTATATTTATTTCTTATATATTTTCCACCAATATATTTGAATATTTAGAAAATAGAAAACAAATTTAAAAAATTTAAAAATATAATATCATACACACATGCACACACGTCACATTTAAAGAAAACCTTTGTTCGTTGTCTATACTGTAATACGGCTTAACATATAACACATTGGAATAAAAATAAATGATGAACAAAGCCTAAACACAGGATACTGAAAGATTGGAAACATATTTTCCTGAAATACTGAAATGCATTTTAAATATGTTTTGGTATATGACATTTTAATCAAAAATATATTTTTATTGAGCTTCACAGTTCACAACATATTCAGCATATCTTTAAAATGCATTTTGGACAGATTGTTTCTTTATAAATTTTTATTTATTCATTAATTTTATTTTATTTATTTGATTATTTTCTTCTGTATGGGGAACTTTTGCTTTTTGATGCCACTAACCTAGCAAGTATATTCCACATTATTCCACCTCTGGTATTTTTACTGTTTCTCTCTATATTATGCAAACGGTATTGCCTCAAATACAAGAAAACATTATGCCACATTTCTCAGGGTTTAGAAGTGTACATTATTCATGTCAGGATGTGTTTTCAACAACCTGTTACATGTTCAAAGAACTGACTTACTGAATGAAGTTTAAACTTTGTTAAAAAAATCACTAAGTATCACCTTATAAACATGAATCTATACTGTAACGCTCAACAGCCTAATTAGAATCATAGTGTTGTTGTATGATGTCATGATCATTTCATCCACAGATTCATAGTTACACATCACAAATACACCGCAAATAGTACTGCAAATGAATAACTTTTATTGATGCAACAGGGAGGACAGATTATCAGTGCAGTTAAAAGGAGTGAATAAATCATTGAATGCAACAACATACAGTCATTTGGTTAGGATGACAACATAACAAAACGAAACAGCTGAAGGTGTGAATGATCAGAATGGTTCAATATTTGCAATCTCTCTTTAAAAATGTGAAACTACAAATGTATCGCATATTCCAAAATATTACTCCCATAAAAACAATGTCTGGTATAAATCGTCCTCTAAAAGTAAGATTCCAAGATTAAATGCACCCTTTGGTTCACCTTTACTAAAGATTACATAACTAAAATTCCCTTTTTAACTCTGCAAATCAATTCATGTGAAAAGCATGCTGAAAGCTTTCTGCTCATCCGCTTATTTGAGAGCCTCTTCACTTTTCTTTGACGACAACGTCGGTGAATCCATGCACCTGAGTCAGCTGAGGACAATTAAGCGAAGCCAGAAGTTTGTAAGGGCCGGGACACTTAGGAATAAATGTCTCGGTCAGATTCACTGTGGCCAGGCTTGCGATGTCACTGAGAAATAGATGGAAAGTAAGACGTTTAACTATATACCAATTCAAATG